TTTTTAAGCTTCCCGCTTCAAAAACGATACTACGGCATAGGTGAACATTTTGTTAGAGGAGTCGCTCCATCGTCGGCGATATTCATCATGGCCGACGCTTGCACGCAGTTCCGCGCGTAATTCAAGGAGAGTTCAAGGTCAATCAATTCGGGCGTGGAAAATATGAACGTTAACACACCGATTGTTATCTGGTCTAATCCAGTTCAGGTGTTATCTCGTCCCATCAAACGTGTTTTGGCGGATTGGCGTCGGCTATGATGATTATTGCCGACGATGGAACGACTCCCCTTACAAAATGTTCACCTGTGCCGTAGTATCGTTTTTGAAGCGGGAAGCTCAAAAAACCGCAAATTTCTTACACAGATTGTGAAGTTATGAGTGCATTTCAGACTTTGCCGATGCGCTCATCGTGATTTTTGAGGCATTATCTACAAGAAACAACTCTTATTTTTGTTCTAGCAAAAGTTTGCAACAGGCCCATTAAAATATGGGTAAACAAGGCTACAAAATGATTAAAACACTAAAAGGCAGGAGGTTTCGAGCTGTTGCCAGCTCAGCTGCAAAAACGCATAAAAACAAGCAAAAAATGGAGGGGCGACCTGACCCCAGCCGTTATCACGTAACCACTCAAACGTGGTATGTTCCCAGCTCGAAACGTCCTGCCTTTTAGTGTTTTAATCATTTTTTGGCCTTGTTTACCCATATTTTAATTAAATCTCCTCTTTATTAATATTCAGAAATTTGCCAGGGAATTCTTGTTTTATCACAGGAAATTTGGCAATGCCTGTAAGTTCATACGGCGATTTTCCTTAGCACGATAGAGTACAGGTGTACACGTGGATGAGTCTGCGGATCCACCAACTTGGAGCTAAGAATCCAGAAAAATAAGAAACCGGGACAAGAGAAGAGCTAAAAGAAACAATCGCCTCAAGTCCCTCTTCCGGCGGCCAAGAACCTATTGTCCGAGTAAATAGAGACTGGACGTCAAGTCCTGTTACCTCTCCAACTCATCCCATTCCGTAACCTCCCAGTCACCCCCTTCTGCCATGTCGCGGAAAAGAGCAGTGAGTAACCTTTGGCACGAGCCTCGAAACACATAAGAGTACGTGCTAACCGCGGCTCATGCTCAAATGCGCTTACGTGACTTTCCACCGCCGGAATCGGCCTCTTGAGCGGAAACGGAAGTGACCGGGGGCCAGGAGTCGAGCCGCGACAGATTTCAGCGTTTCAGCGGTTCGCGAGCTCGTCGCCGCACAATGCGTCCCGATGAGCGGTTCAGCGGTTTTCGTGCTGCCAACGCACGCGGGTTCGTCACCCTTTTCACGCTGAAAATACGTTTTCGTCACCCTTTTCACGCTGAAAATACGTGGTTGCAAAGGCAGGAGGGCCGGATTAAGGAAATGGCCACATAGGCCGCGGCCCATGGCGGCAAATCAAGGGGGCGGCAAATTTTGCGCTTTTTTAAAAAAATAGGATTTTGAAAAAAAATTACAAACGAGAAAAGGTGATAAAATCTCTCATTTCCTGAGAGTATAGTAATTTCAAATTTTGTCGTCTCTTAGTGATACAAGAGACAGCACCTTCAATAAGTCGAGTTAAGAGAGAGACCAAACACGCAATTTGGCCTAGAACGGCACGACTTAGAGAGAAATGATGACGAGGACTTGAGATGAAAAGGTCGAGCCCTCGGCGCGGCGATCGGCATGTAACACATATTAGCGCCTACAAGACTGCACGAATACTTCACGCATTGCATCAAACACAGTGTGGTCTGTGCGGCGCGGCGGTGGAAGTAGAAATCATTGATCCACATTTATGTTTGTTGTTTCATAATGTTTCCGTTCATTTCTTATGAATGGAAGGCCTTGTCCACACAGAGATAGGTTTACGGAACTTAACTTTCGCGCAAAGTTCCGTGAACTTTTGCTAGTAGTGTTGACAGGGCTTTCCCAAAAAAAGAAGTTCAAAGTTCAACACGAGTAAATGGGCCTTATGCACCCCTTTTCCTCCGGCACATTCATTTGATGGTTTTTATCGAGTTTCAAAACGAATGAGAAGGGGGCGGCAATATACAGGCGGTGAATGGGCGGAAAGTAGGCGAATCCGGCCTTAAAAGGCAGACGCTTTGTCTCGCAAGGTGATCCACGGATCAATGGGATTACATTTTTCAACGGATCGTATTTGATGCCAAGCAAGAACGTCGTAAATCCATCAAGATTTTCCCGCGTTTTTAGGAACTTATCACTTTTTAAAATAAAAACCGTTATACCCATGCACCGTAAATTTTCAGGTACATTTCTTGATAGTATTTGCGAGAGAATTCCGTATAAACATTGCCTCGAGGTTGACAGGTTATTCTGCTATGATACGAATACATTGTTTCCAACATGTTTAACAATTCGTTTACGGCGTTTTTGCGTTGCACGGCAGTATAATTCTGGTCATTTTCACTTAATAGTATCACTGTGTAAAAAATCAAGTAGACTTATAGTAGCCGTTACGACTACATACTTTTCTTTCAGAGCACTTTTCAATATTTGTCTAACTTTTAAAAATACTTACGGCAAAGCTCGTGTTGCCAAGGCCCAAAAACTTCACATTAACTAAACAGCCGCAAAATTTTATCCATATCCACGAGGAAGAAAAGTTTAACAAGGTCATATCCGGATACCCGCAGTTATAAACAAAATGACTTCAAAATTGACTTTCGCGTACTTTTTGTTTGCTCTTTAACTTCCTGAAGAAAAATATGAAGGAAAATTGACTGCAAATATAGCGCTTATCCCACCCCCAAAGAAAAGTTAATTGCTTTTTATTTGTGGCATATCGTTGGGGTGCCCTCTTGCGCAACTTATCTGATGATGGCGCCTTAATCCCTAACGCCTTAAAATACTGTCAAACGGCGAAATTAATCTCTTAACTCTCCACTCAATTGCGTTTAACAGAAACGTCGCACAGTGGAGAAGAGCCTACTTTTCCCAAATTTTTCAGACAATTTTGTTCGCAATTTAATCTTGAATATGGGAAAATTTAAAGGAAAAATATTCATAACACGTACATGTTTTATCCGGGGATATTTGGCAACTTGCGAATATTCATACGGTATTTTTTCCTGGCACGGCGGAATGGTAAACCAGTTACGAACCAACATTCTGGAGGATAGGTTCAAGAAAGTCAAAAAGCCTTCAATTTGTGGATATGCAATACGGAGATCATTCCAGCGCGAATAGCTGCATCCAGAAGTTGCTGTCAACATCAATCCGAGAGAGAGGGTTAGGAAAGTCAAACGCATTTGTTTTTTTTCCATGCAATTCGGACGAAACTGGAGTACGAATAATTGTATTCTGGCTTTACGATCAACATTTCTCAAAGAAAGAAGGTCAGGAAAGTCTAAACGCCGATAATTTTTGTGTATTTATCACGGAGAGCGCCATGGTACGAAAAGTTGAATCGAATGCGTTACCATCAACCTTAAAACGGTTCGGTTATCATTCATTTATTCATTCTTTTTTTTTTAGTTGGTAATTAATTAAATTAAATTGCAATCGCAAATAACCGGATCTGGAGTTCAGTTTGGATTAGTATGCCTTCCTCCCGACCTATTTCATGTCATCATTCTTCCCTTCATCGCAAAAACGGGGAATTTCACGCTCTTATCAGCAAAAGTACTGCCAGTAAAAATGTGGAAATTGGGCAAAAATCAATATTATTGATGTCTAAAATGGGACTTTCCATTTGATGCCGTTGTAAATTGAAGACCTAATTCTACTTTTCTTACGGTTGCAAAGAAATGAATAAAAGTATCGAGCAAAACTTGTCGACATTTCATTCTTTTAGTCGAAGTGCTTATTTCCAACCCTTTTACTAGCTGCAATCTCGTCGAGGTACATTAGATGTTTCTACCTTCTATTATTTTATTTTTTGCAGTCGTTAACTCGGTTATTACAGTTTTACAGCAAACACAATTTTGCATTTATGTCACCACTACCATTAAAAACTTTACGACAATAATAGGAAGAACGCTGAATTTGATGTTCAGGGAAGTAAGAGACAATTTACATAGCAACGTTGCAGAATTTCCTTTCACCTTTCTTCAGCATTATTCTTACGACAAACAATCTATAAATTTCCGTAATATCAAAAACATTCCCTACGATGGTCAAGAAAAATGCCAAGCAAAAAAATTACTCGATAACAGTTTTGAGTTTTTCCCAAAATAAAAACAAAGTTGTGACAGCTTAAGCAGCACTGCAAGGATGTTAGTTCCTTTTTGCAAAATGCCATCTATCTAAGAAAATACTTTCAATCAGAGGGTGTCTAGAATCTATAGTCTACAGACGCACTGAGTAGGTTTCTGTGACGAGAATAATCAAATTCCCAGCCACATAATATAGAAAATTTGGTCGCACAGAATTTAAAATGAAAAATGTTCATCATAATTTCACTACCAATGGCACAAACATGCCGATTGCCAAATAGGAAATAACGTATCTTAGTGGCGTCATTTCAAATTTTTCTCTTGTATTTCATTTTTTTTTAAAGAAACAAGTCAACTTTATCGATTGTAAAGTATGCAGAATATTTTCCTCAAAGAGAGGAGGAAGCAAAGAAGCACTTGAGCAAGTACGCGCACTAGTTTTCCAAAGAAAAAAAACGCCTAGAAATGATGAAATTTCAATTCCCCCCCCCCCCCCCCCNAGATTGGATCTAGAGTCCAGACTCTTGAAAACATTGACAAGAAAAAATACTCTTGATTCAATCAGATTTTTGCTTAAATCAAAAGGAAATCCGCTCAAATTAAGAGGCTTGGTTCTTGATTTAAGCAAAAATCCGATTGAATCAAGAGTATTTTTTCTTGTCGACTCTAGATCCAATGTGTTTTTTTTTTTTTTTTTCAGTGCAGGGGAGCAAGAAAGTAAAACTGAACAACAGAAAATGTGCAACGCCGCGAACGCAGATACGTGGTTTCGCACTGCGGCCATCGATATTCTTGTACTTACATTTTAACTAATCCAACGTATAATCGCTGTGCTCGAAGGCCGGAGGATCGAATCGCGAAACCGAACACCGCACCTCAACTCCAGCACTCGCAAATTTCGTGACCCCGACCGAGAAAACGCGGAATCAAAAAAGTAAGAAAAAGTCGCGACACAACACGACCCGCGCTCAAAATACGTAAGATCTCCCCCCTCGAAATGAAGAACGGGCGACGGAGGTCCCGGTCACTTCCGGTCTTTCGGCCACTTCCGGTCCCGGCCACTTCCGCTTCCCGGGGGCGCTTGGCACAGTAACACAGTTCCGAGCGCGATCAAGAAACCCCGTCTCGCCGGGAGGAGCACCAGACGCCGCGCCGAACCGCTCGCAAGAACTGCACCGTCCGCGGAGCGGGCGAACGGGCGAGCGGCCCCCGGATTCGGCGCGGTAGGCCGCCCGCAACGCACGACACGAGGTGCGCCTGGGCGGTAGGCAACAGGCCGCGCGCCGCGTGTAACAAGTGAGCGCTCGCCAGTACGTAACAAGTGGTCGGCCCGAGCGACCCTCAAAAACGGATGCGACGTACCCCCCCCCCCCCCCCCCCCC